GAGAGGATTTCAGGCGATATTGATCGCCGTGCAGGAGGGGTGCCTCCGTTCGTGGGCTCTCTTTGAAAAGCCCGCGAAACGGAGGGCGCCTCGAGGAGCAATCTGACGGCCAGTTTGGATTAAAGCCGTCACACCGGTTGCGATGCAACCCTGTCTTTCATTGAGTGCTTTCGGAAGTCGTTTCCCTTGAGAGGAAAGTGCGTTCAGGTATTCAGCCTGAGGCATCTACCGTCAGATTGCTCACTCGGCCGAAGGGCCATTATCGAATATCAAAATTATATTATTATTCACTTCGTTTCTGCTCAGAAGTTATAAAACTGCTTACTGAATTTCGTTGCTTTCTGTTCAGTAGCGGGTTTTGCCGCAGCTTATTTGTATTGACTGTCTTTTACACTATACTTGTTCATGAGTTCGGTGGAAGGACATCGAGGGGATTCAACGCGGGTTGAGCCTACGGTACCGGCGAGCAGCCCAACATGGGGATCAAGTCAACCCTCTAACTTTTGTCGATTCTACACCGTGTTCATTGCGAATAGGCCGGTTGACGATTCGTCAGGTGTGGAAGTAGTGAACGCGCAATTGAGACAAACTACGATAGGAACCCTAAGAAATGGACTATGATCAGGTGAGTCATCCGTTGACCTGACGGCACAGTTTGGAGCGCATCGTGACCACATGTGAAAGAGCAAATAAAATGGAATTGCGCAATGCATCGGCCGCAAAGCTCACGCATATTTTGGAAAGCGTAAATGAAGAGGTGAACTGTGCGATTGCACAGATTGGGAGTCCAAGTCAAATAGCGACCAAATCTTCTTGGCGAACATATTTTCACAACACAAGAAAATGCTCTTTCATCATTCATGAATCCACGCTGGCATGCAAAACTTGGATGAAAGACGAACGAAGCTTTTCCATGACGTGCTACTGGCGGTAAAAGAACTCTATGGAACCTAACCACGCATAGGAAGAGCTGCTACAGTGCAGTAATTGACAGGGACCGTTAGGCGGTCCCACAAAGCTATCAATAGTCAATTTCACCGCATCTATCTCGTCCTTAAGCTTTGCACACCCGTGTATTTCTATCTGTCTATCTGTATGGAGATCAAATCCTTTTTTCAGATGAGCTTTACGACGTTCGCTGCTGAGATGCTGGAGCGAGAGACCGCCAAGCGGCGTCGATGGAATTTGGTTTGCGGTGTGGTGGGCTGGGCTGCGCTTGCCGGCGCACTTTTCTTTGTAGCGCGTATGCGCCGTTTGGTGTGATTGATTTTATGTATTTTATCAGTGATTGTGTTTTTGTAT